CTCAAATGTTAGAATTTGGCAACAAATTTAAAGCTTTGTATAAAAATTTCAAAATATTGAAGAAACAAATATATCATAGTTTGATATAATAGTTGTCTAAATATAACGAAATTAAAAATGTAAAATATTACGAATTATGTGTTACAAAATGATCAGGCACAAAAAAATAATATAAAAATATATAATTAACTTAAGAAGAAATATAAAATAACATATGTGATAAAAAATGATAATAAATAACATAAGAAACAAGATATATAGATAAATGTGATAACTAGTATAAAATTATTAACCTAGATAGAAAATTCAAATATGTGATATAGTCATAAAATAAATAATTAGTTATCATATATACATTTTAAAGTGTTATGATAAAAATAATATAGCTATCGTGCCAGACACAATAGCTACATTTTTTGGCATCTCGACTCCATGTAAAGGATACAATTGCTCTCTCTCCTATGTCATCATGGTCAAGCCACCTAAATGATCATCCATCACCATATTAGTATTAAGTGATAACGTATAATAAATGTCAACTGAAGAACGAGTATGATCAATTGTCACGCTCCCATCACTGTATAGATAGTGTAATGAGAGGGTATAATAGCTCGACATTAATGGATGATGGTTATCGATTCTTACATACTTATTACTACATTAACTATGTAATGAGAGAGGACAATGGCCCCAAATACCCAACTATCAATGTCCCCTTGACTTTGTCACCAGCCTCGACCTCTCCATCCTCAGCATAGAAGAATTGCCCTGATGTAGTTTTGCAGAGTTTGGATGAGTAATTCGAAAAGTTTCATTCTGAGACCAGCTCGAAGAAGAAAAACATTGATCCGAATCAACCTCCTGCTCCAACAACCAAAATCTGCTCTACCATAAATCATACAAAATAAGTACACAGAATATAATAGGTATAAGATAAACATTGATATAAAGTATAAGATAATACTAGAATATATTAGGAAAAATACCTTAGATTTTGAATATTTTATGTGTCATTGCCCCCTCATTTCTATATTTATCAAGAATCCTCGATAAAATAGCCAAAATACTATGAGAAGGGGATTTCTTTGTAAATTAAGGTTGGTTAAACTAGCCAAGTTTTATAGTGTTTTTTAATAAAGCTATAATATTTTTAGTTTTTATTTTTTTAGTATAGTAAACACATCACTCCATTAAAAGATAATGTAATTAAACAATATCTTATTCTTTTTAATTATAATTATGTGAAAAATTAGAGCTTTTACCATGTTTTATTTGAAAATACATCAAAACCTTCACAATTTTATTTCATTATCGTTCAAATTTATATATAAATTATTTTCGAATAAGTCAATACCTTATAGTAACAGTTGATAGTTATGGTTAGTGAGGATTTCAATTAATTGAAACTCAATTATATTATTTATGATTAGAATTATATTCTTCTACCTCATTTATAAAAACATTATAGATCCAATCAAATACATTGTAATTATGAATGCATCCTTTTTATTATTTTTACTTTCCAATTAATGAAAACAAGTATAATAATATTTTCAGATAATTGTAGACCTAAATTTAGGGATATACAAAAAAGGATTTGTGATCCTCTATTTTGAAATATATCAAAATATTCTTAATTTCTATAAAAAAAATCATTTAAAAACTCTCAAATAAAATAATTTATAAAATTTCAATACATATAATAGGATTAATAATTTAGGTTTGTGAGAATTTGAATAAAATTACGGTCTTCTTTGAATATTGTCACAGTGTTTTCAATTTAGTAATTAAAAACTATTTTAACTGATTTGATTAAATAAATAATATTATAATTTAACAAAAGAATTAACATATAATTTTAAAAAAGAATTAATTATAAACAACGCTAAATTGGATTTCATCACCTGTTGTTAAACATAGTAGTTGGTTTTTATTTTAGATATCAAGCAAGTGATCAGATCGTCAAAAGAACAAAATAAAAAGGAGTATTTATTTACATTTTTCTCATCCTATCATTTTATGTGAGTTGGGAAGGATGAGAGGTGTTAACAGTCATTAACCGGCATCTGAATTGTATGGTATTGTATGTCATCCATGGATATGGACGACGATGGAATGATAGGTATTAACTGATCTTGTACTCGTTAGAGAAAAAGAAATATACACATTGACATCGACACCGAGACTTGCTGTAGTTTTCTTCACTTTTGAGCGTATTATATTCCTTCACCTTTGCCATGGGCACTCCTCGTGGATGGAATTAAATGCAGTGTATTGCCAAGTGTGAGATGGAGTTGTAACACGAGTAAGATGAGGAGGAGAGACACTTTAATGCACTAAATTGACTTCCATCGTTCTTAAGAGTTGCAGAGGATAGATCGTTGCAAGACAACACATGTAGCAGCGATATGTGCGTGTGTGTGCAAGGATCGGGGAGAAAAAGTGGGAGAAAAGAAAGATTCCGGTGCTTTACCAAAAGAGAGGTGGGATTTGGTATATTGGGTGGGCGGCCGAATTCAATGGTGTAGTCCTGTTAGAGCGTCATGCGTAAAGGAGATCCAGACAGGTCGAGATCATACATAATGGAAGAGAGAGAAAGAAAGGTGGTGAGGAGGGATGGAGTCAAAAGCATCAAGACTTTATGATGTTCATCATAATCTTCAGAGGAGTAATATAAGTTCGGACCTAAAGAACGCCTACTTTTTACTTCTGTTCCACAGGTTTCTCCATGCATCTTGTTTTAAATATTGCATTCCTTCTTATTTGGTTCGATCTTTAAAGGACGAGTAATTTAAGATGAGAGAAGGATAGCCACTCTCTCTCTCTCTCTCTCTCTCTCTCTCTCCATAGGTTTCTCCATGCATCTTGTTTTAAATATTGTATTCGTTCTTATTTGGTTCGATCTTTAAATGACGAGTAATTTAAGATGAGAGAAGGAAAACCTCTCTCTCTCTCTCTCTCTCTCTCACACACACACACACACACACACAAAGTGGGCATGCATCTTGACTCTTTGCTGTTGTCATAGATGCCGTGATGTTTTGGGCCATGGAGTTAGCAGAAAAATAATGTTTCGAGCTCAAGCGGCTCCTCAGCACTGAAAGCTACTAACCACTGTATGTAGTTACCGAGGGCACTATTTATAATGCTTAAAAGCTCTTCTACGTACTTCTCGTGGAGTCTCAGTTGCAAAGAAAGGTTGGTGTCATCCCAACTTTTGCTTCTCTGTGTCGTGCAAGTCCAATTTATTTGAGCATCACAAACTCCCAAGAAAATGATGGAATGAGAGGTCAATTAAGGTGGGAGAAGACTCCTTTTGCTGTTGCTGTTTCTTGTCAAGATGGGTGGTGAGGGAGACTTCCGTCCAAACATTTAGCATCCATTGCCACCATCAGGTCTAACCTTAACCAGTCATTTTGCTGATGAAAGCAGAACTATAAGGTTCACTCACAAGAATAGGAAAGTGGAAAATGAAAAACAAGATTATTTTTTTAAATCATTATTCTTATATTGATTTCAACAAAAAAAAAAAAAACATTTCATCTCTTTGACAACCTGACTTCTGCCTGCAACCTTGACTTTGTTTTTATTTTTAATCCTATGATAATTAGGATTAGACACTTCTATAACCAAATAGTTGATGAATACATTCATAATTATGGATCTTTATATATGATGATTGGTGCTATTTTAGATTCACAGTCTCATGATATTCTAAGGAGA